AGAGCACATTATTATGATGTTAGAATTATATTACATTTGTATAATAAGATGTCATAAAATGTTTTATGTTGAGTAAACAGTGCTTGGTTCAAAATAGCAGCTGGCTACCGCAGTGTTATACAGGCAATTTCAGTATCTTTGCCGGCACTTTTCTCATCCAAATTTATTTTGATAAAATTTTTCTCAAATATAAATCCATTTTCATTTATGAATATTGCAGTCATTATATTCAAGTTGTCTTACTCTAAAATGCTCAAAAAGCTGTCGGTGGTTCGTAATTTTCTCTTTGCTTAGCTCTCAAATGCATGGCTGACTTACCAAAATAAAAGGGGATTTATTTTGTCTTATTTTCATACTGGCTGAGAAATGCAGATGCAAAGCAGTGCTAAGAGAATGAAAATCAAATTATCTTGTAAGTAACCTGCAAAAAAAGTGATGCACCCGAAAAGCCTGCAGATTTCAGCAATTTATTTTGAACCCTGTAGTGTGTAATCCAAAAGCCCATTTTTGGTTGAGAGGAATATACTCAAGCATTGTCTAAATTGCCTATATTGAGATGGTCAAGTTTACAATGCACATCCCCAGCCCTTCCCTCCCCTCCCCTAGAGAAACTGTTGTTTAATGTATTGTTGCTCTTCAACATCATCATCCATCTGTTCTTCCCTCCCCTCCCCTAGAGAAACTGTTGTTTAATATATTGTTCCTTACATCTTCAACATCATCATCCATCTGTTCTTGGGGATCTATTTCATGCAGTAATTCTTGGATTCTTCTCTTGGTTAAGACTTGTTGTGGTTGCGGACTTGATGTCTCAACGCGATTAGTAATTCCTGAAGATAACATTGGGATTTTCATTCTTACAAAATGACTTAATTTACTTGTAAGCAATCATTGAAAAGAAAACTTAATAAGTTAATTTAACCTTAAAAAATTACAATTATTTTTGTAATATTTTGATATCAAGTTTTCAATCTTTATGATAATTATTATCAGAAACTCATAAGGGGATTTTCAATCCCCTTATGAGTTTCTGTTATTATTGAGTATAAGAATTGATTATTGAGTATAAGAATTGATTGACTGTCTACTGGGTATACCTTACTGAATTTCATATTTTGAATTAATGAGTATAATTATTAATTGATCAATACAATATTCTGGTGACCTCTAGCTGTAAAACTCCTATTTGAGGAGAATCAGAGACTGCAAACCTGAGTGTGAGACCAGGTTCTTGGAAGCTGTTGTAGTTGATGGTGCTATATTTTGTATTGATCCTGTTGGTTGTGCTGCAGTTATCATGATGCCACTTTGGATCTTGTTTGGTGCAAGTTGCCTTTGGAGTGGGCCGACTGATGGTGATGGAGACTGACTGACTTGTTTTATTCCACTTTGAATTGTATCTGTCATTAATGAACAAATTAAATACCTTTATTATAATAACTTATACAAAGCATGCCATGCCAGTTCTAGTGTAGTACAATGTACATAACACAAAAAAATATTTTAACTACTAGCAATGGATAAGAGCAGTAAAATATAATAGCAGCTTATATATTATTTCTTTACTTTCCTGAATTGGCCCTTAAATGTTTAGCTTTTTGTCAACAAAGTACAGTCAACTCTCTCTATTACGGACACCCTCAGGACTGTAATTTAGTGTCCGCAGTAGCGAGAGTCGGTAGGTACGAGAGTTACTTTCAGTCATTTCTTTGTATTTTTCGCCGGGGATTCAGTATTTTACTGTCCACAATATCAAGGTGTCTGTTGTAGCGGGGTGTCCGTAAGGCAACAGTTGACTGTAATACCATAGTACAATGTGCTGATAGGTGATTAGAAATAACTTACTGACATTTTGGACGTTAATCCTTTGTCGGAGCTTATAGTAATGTTGATAAAGACAAGACAAGATGCACTATAGCGACCTTAATTTAACCATTTCTTACTTTGTGTAGACTTCAAGGCAGTAACAGGAGTAGGTGTTGCTATGGTTACACTTCCAGGAGTTGATGTTAGAATTCTTTGACCAGTAGCTAGAATGTTCTGTCCAGCTACTGCTGATGCAACCTTGACTTGTTGCTGTTGGTTTATTGGTACTGACGCACGAGTCACTGTTAGTATTCAAAAATTATTACGTTTGAAATAATAAAAAAATAGSATATCAAAACTAAAGTGCAMACTRAGAAGTTTGAGAAAGTGAATGAGAAATGTGGGGAAATTAGATAGTCGAAACGGGAATCAAGAATAAAGTAGACCTGCTAAAAAATTTTATCATAAAATTATAATAATATAGGACWTTTATATAAATTGGAAACGAATTCATTAAAAAACAATAAATGTGGAAACTCCCTCATTAGTTTTCCTCTCAGGGAGTAATGAACAACTCAGTTAATCGCTATGCTTTTCTCAATATGACAACTCTCTTGTAAATATCGATTTAAAAAAAAGAAACTTAGCTGATACATGTACATCTACAGGATAGTAGAGGGAATRCTTCTGACTGYTGCACAAGYCAAGGCTTGCACTAAACAATTCAATTCWAGAGTTCATAATTCAAGTAGGTTTAAGGCCTGTTTACACTTGCAATTTTTTGMAGAGCGATTCTCACRACATGCTTGCAACTATGCTGTRATTTCCCATYRCYRCARCAATCGCAGGGCTGTTTACAYGYGAGAAATGCATTACCTGTCTGGGCATGTGCTTGTACCTGGCTTAATGCCTGGGCCTGTATTTGYTGTATCTGGGCAGTAGTAAGAGTTGTTGGGTTTGTTACAGCAATCTTTGTTGGAATACCAGACCCTTGTGTCAGGATGGTAACRGTCGTTGTTATGGGTGTGTTTCCTGGAACCTGATTGGTTGTCACTGCAGGTACAATTCTTGGAACAGCAGAAATTGATTGCTGAGGYGTCACRCCTTGTGATAGTGTTCCTTGAGTTGTCATAGCAACCTGTGCATGGCCTGGTTGTTGAGGAGTTATTATCACCTTAACCAATTGAAATATAATTAAAGTTTAGTACCCACCAAACTATCCAAATCCAGTATTCCGATTGATTACTAAACTATTGTATATTAAGGTTATTGTGGACAATGTTTAAAGAATCCTTTTGTGCCTCAAAGACCCTTGTTAATGATGGAATTTCATAAATGAGTATTGGCATCCATGAAGTACTATATGAGACTATACACTACTGTCCATCACAAGCTTTCAATGTGCAAGGTCCAATACCTCTTTAACTTCAATCAAACATATTCTTAGTTTTCTCTCGTATGGTATTTAGGGCCATCAGTAGAATATAAAATCACATATAAATTCCCTGRCATTTACATATGGTCTTATTTAGCATTTAAAAGTGCATTCTTATCAAAGAGGGCCATTAAAATGGGAATAATTAATAARTATTAACAGCCCATCAAACACAAGACATATTTTGGAAAGTATGCAGARATATTGACACAGACTGTACAACTTTTGTACACAAATATTGCAGTAACTGGATGTCTTCAAATTTCTTAATACATTGTGTTCAAAACTCTCAGAATTCACTTCAATGTTAATACTTCTTGATTTATGTCAAAGCTGCAAGAAAATGAAGTAAAATTCCTAACTTTTATTTGAGATTTCAGTTAAAAGTGATGTTGCATGACACTTGGTGTGTCTATATATTCTCTAATATTTTGAAAGCAATTAAATTATAGCTGCTATACTGTGAAAATTTATGACTGATTTTGTGAAGGTTTCAATTTCACCCTTTTTCATTTTTCACGTTCAAAAATGTCTGTTGGATGAAAAAAATCGATTTTTAGAGAAGGATTTCCTGTGTATATCAAGAATATGTTGAATATGATGCTACTTCAACTTCAACTTTCAGAACATTCTTCAAAAGCATATTTCAATATTATGAGATCTCTCTCTCTGTCTTATTCATTATTTTACTTACTTCTCCTTGAGATTTCAAAAGCTTNATTTTAAACTCTATCTTGTCAGGTTCAAATGGAAGTAGAAGTCTGGTTTGTACAAGATGCACTGAGAGGAGATGACACAACAGAGATTAGAGTAAAATTCATTAAAAGATTAGAGGATGCACTTCCAGCAGGGGAAGACTAGACACTATTGTCATTCATTTAACATACAGTGATATCATTTGTAAGAGTGTTTCAAGGGACATGAAGAGAACACAATAGGTGAAATCTTCTTAAGTCACTTTTAACAAGCTAAAATCTAAGCTTGCCAAGATGATGAAAGCAAGATCTGTGACTTAAAAGAATTTTTATTTCAAACTGATTTTGAAACTCTTGCATGTATATAATTTTATCATAACTATAGTGATCATAATAAATATACACCCTCAGTGATATTTAATCAAGAAATTCTTTCAGTTTATTCACCAAATGCAGCACATGTTTATAATAGCAAAAACTCATCAGTAAGTCTTTTTGGAAAGTGATTGTTGGCAATGCACTTGAACATTAAGGTGGAGCCATCCAAGGAAATTTCTAAGATCTTTGGCAAAAAATGACTCAATTCCATTCAATTCCTGATTTTTTGCAAATGTTTTAAGTTGGATTTCAGATGGACAGCCTCAAAAGAAGTATGGAAACGACTGTGATGTCAACCCAGACAATAAGACTACAATACCTTCTCTGATATTTAGTGTGGTGTTACAACCATAAACAACACACCGGCATTTTTAACTCAAAAATCTACAAAGACTCTGCTGGTAGTGTGTTTCACAGTATCTGTTTACCGACAGTGTTTCATAGTATCTGATTACCAACAGTGTTTCATAGTATCTGATACTGGGTTGTGGTCATGTGATACTGTAGAATTGCTTGTCTACCACAGGGAGCTCAAAGTACCTTTTCTTGCATGTTTAACATTTGTAAAAAAAATCTGGAATATAATAAAAATGTGTCATTTTTTCACAAAAAATGTCATTTTTTAGGGGTTAGGTGCACTTTAGACATACCTGTCATATTCATTTAGCTTATTTATGGCTTTAATTTGTACATATACCTGGTTTGTAC